GGGGTCTGTGGTAGGGCTCCCAATTCCTGCTTTCACACAAACAGATGGAGCGCTGCGAATAACTCAGGCTTGCTGCACACTTGATCTGTGCGGGTTTTGCTCAGTTACCTTCTCTGTCTTTTTGCTGCCCTGCTGACAGAGCTGCTGGCCCCAGACCAAACCTTCAGAGCACTCAGCCTGCCAAACTTGGGTGCCCTGTCTTGCTTTGGCCGTGAGCTTTTGGTTGTTTGAGACCATTGAGTTGGCTTGAGTAGGAGAGGTTTTGCCTATTTCTCAGCTTTTGCTAGGTGTCTGTAAAATAGATGAAGCTCAGTTGATAACATACCTTGGTCAGCTGAAAAAAGGTGTTTTTTTTGCAGTTACATTCACTTGTTTAGCTGGCTGGCACAAAGAAGTTTTGTGTTAGCAGAGCTGGTGATGACACTTCTCTCTCCCTGCCTAGATCGAGCGGTTGGAAGTCAGCAGCCTCGCCCAGACCTCCAGCGCTGTGGCCTCCAGCACTGATGGCAGCATCAATGCAGACTCTGTCGATGGGACCCCAGATCCTCAGCGTACGAAAGTGGCCATCACACACCTGCAGCAGAAGATACTGAAGTTGACCGAGCAGATCAAAATTGAACAAACAGCCCGAGATGACAACGTGGCAGAGTACCTGAAGCTGGCCAACAATGCAGACAAGCAGCAGAGCGCCCGCATTAAGCAAGTGTTTGAGAAGAAAAACCAGAAGTCGGCCCAGACCATCTTGCAGCTGCAGAAGAAACTAGAACACTACCATCGAAAGCTGCGAGAAATTGAACAGAATGGGATCCCTCGGCAGCCAAAGGATGTCTTCAGGGATATGCACCAGGGTTTGAAAGATGTGGGAGCAAAAGTCACTGGCTTCAGTGAGGGAGTTGTAGACAGTGTAAAAGGTGGGCTTTCCAGTTTCTCCCAAGCCACGCATTCAGCAGCAGGAGCTGTGGTTTCCAAACCCCGGGAGATTGCCTCCCTCATACGGAACAAGTTTGGGAGTGCAGACAACATTGCTAATCTGAAAGACTCCTTAGAAGAAGGCCAGGAAGATGGGACAGGAGGGAAGGCTCTAGGTGTTATTCAGAACTTTCAGTCAAGCCCAAAATATGGCAGTGAAGAGGACTGCTCCAGTGCCACATCGGGCTCCGTGGGAGCCAACAGCACAACAGGGGGCCCTGTGGGAGCTTCCAGCTCCAAAACAAACACTCTGGATATGCAGAGCTCAGGGTTTGATGCAATACTGCATGAAATTCAAGAAATTCGAGAGACACAGGCAAGACTGGAAGAATCATTTGAGGACCTTAAGGTTCGCTATCAGAGGGATTACTCATTAATAATGCAGACTCTGCAGGAGGAGCGGTACAGGTAGGTACCTTTGTACTTTGTTTTGGTAATAATTGCTGTGAGGTGCAGAGCACCAGCATCCAGGGAACAGCCTACTCCCCAGGCTGTTCCCAGCAGCCTCATTCAGAGGGGAAGTTTGGTGGTCTCAGGATTTTGCTCTCCCAGCTCTGCCTTTTATCGTTACTTTGCAGCTCATCTCCCTTTCTGTGCAAGAAGTAGCAAGGAAAAAGGTTATTTCACACTCAGATCCATATCTACCAGAGAAAGAAATATCTAGCTTTCTTAGAGTTCTCCAAAAATACATGATCTTGCCCATATGCCAAAATTGGGATATCCCATTCCCTTTTCTGCTCAGCCCTACAGTGGCAGGGCTTAATGAAATTTAGTTATGTTAAATGTCAGATGCTGGCAGTGCTCTTGTTGTGGAGGTCATGGGGCTCTGGAAATGGGGTATCCATGTTTCCATCAGCCTTCCCCTCCCTGGAAGAAATGGAAAGTGGAGGAATTGCTACAGTGCTGCCAGTCCTGGATCAGGTCACAGGGGAGAGGTGACAGTGATGTCAGGGAGGCAGCTTGGTGACATGGCATGGCAGTTCCTCCAACCCTAAGACTTCCCCCACTACCCCCTGGAGAGGTGTTGGGGGAATGCTTTCCCACCCCCTTCTGTGCTGGGGTAGGGAGCTCTCAGCAGCTTGCCCGTGCTGTCCAGCAGAATGTCTTGTGTCCCCACCACGCGCTGGGGGCAAGGGCTCCTCCCCAGGCTTCCCCTCTGCAGCTGCGCAGCCTAAATCAATGTGATGATTAAACCGTGTTTTTTTAACTTTGCATAACAAATGCAAGGGGACCAACTCCTCGTTCTGATGGAGGGCAGCAGACTTCTTAATGAGGTTGCCTGTGGCCTTGTTGCTTTGGCCAGGCTGTGAAGCACAACCCATGAGGCTGCTGGGTGTGGAGACAGGCTTTCTGAAGCAGCATCTGCCACTTGCTGCCTGGATTTGCTCAGTAGGACATGGGGTTGCCCTACAGCTCTTTAGACATGCTGGTGCCAGATGATTGGGAAAACATTTGAAAAGCCTTAGCTTGCTAGGATCTTGTGGAGACAGCAAGCTTTCTGTGTGCTCTGCAAAGCCTGGGTGGACAAAGCCAGACCAACACCGCTTTCTAATCCTACTTTGCAACAATCAGCAATTTGACTGAAACCAGCACCCAGCACAGCAACTTTGGTTCCTAGTGCCTCATTGTCATGAAGCCATGTAACAAAGTGATGTAGTCTGGCCTTCTGCTCCCTAGCAGAGCAGGGTCCCGTTGTCTGTGGCTGTGTAAGTTGTTGTTCCGCCCATACAGCAGCAGCCATTCATAGCAGGAGGCTGTATGCTGCACAGTACAGCCTGAAAGTACAATGGAAGACCTTGGGCACTCGTGTGTGTTGTCAGCTAAACTGGCTAGTTATTCCCTGAAGCCCTTCAGCAAGGTTGACACAGGTCCTTGTACCAGTGCAGTATGAGATCATATCTGTTGTGTGCTGTTAGCCGTGACTGAGTGCTCCCTTGAGAGTCCAGAGCCTCACCACTAGCCAAGGCAGCCTGCAGTGACAAGCTTCCGGGAGAATCTGTATGTAGCTTATAAATGCTTAAAAATGTGTAATTTAGATCTGCCATTTGGAATGTTTATGCAAATTCACTAATGACCTTTAAAATGAACCAGTTAAACCACATAAATGTCCTTAGCTCTACAGGATGTCAGAGGTGAGCAAGGAGCTGCACAATCCACAGGCAGCTCATGGGTTAATCACAGTGGGACTAGTACCTTAGTGTGCAAACCTACATTCATGTTTGATAGCTTCTGTATTTTAAAACATGAAGATAAAACCCAGCATCACCCTGCGAGCTGGAAGGTTATGTGACGTGTCCGAGGGCAGAGAGGGCTGGTGCTTGTTCCTCTGGCTCTGTCCTCAGCTCCCTTCAGAAAAAGGGAAAAGATGGGAATGAGGTTGTGGTTTGAAGCTGGGAGGCTGGGGATTCAAAATTAATCATAACTGGCTTTAAAAGCTATAAATACCTCCTAACACTGCTCTATTTCTGGGAAGCTTTCAAAAACAAGCACCGAGTTCATTTAAAGCTTAAAAAAGAAGTATTTTGGAGCAGCCTGTGCTCACGGGGCAGCACTGAGTGCTGGTGTTGGATCTGGAAGCTGGAACAAAGCGTGAGCCGTGGCATTTTCTTTGTCCATCTGCCCTTTTTCAGATGTTCTACTTTTTTGCAAGTTCTGATGTCTTTTCCTTGTGTGTTTATGCAGTTTCTGCTTATCAGCCATAGCTGGCCTTGCAGGTTTTCCGTGTCGTCTTTCATCTCCTCCCTCCCCTTGCCTGTCAGCCCGCCCGGCTGCCAGCTTGGAACCAGCTGCAGGGCTGGCACCTGCTGGTGCAGTTGCTCCAGCTCTCCCACCCTGGTGCTGCCCGGTGCAGGGTGGGCTGTGCTGGCAGCACGTCCCAGCCCCGAGCCTCGTGTGGCTCCACTGGGGCTGAGTCGTGGAGGAAGGAAGATCCTTGGCCCTCATTGTGTTTCTGCCGCACCGGGAGCGGGTGCTGGAATCGCTGGTTGCTTATCTCATCGGTTGGAAGGTGGCGTTGTTTACTGATAGGAGCAGGGACTTTCTGTGCTATTGAGACTGAAATAAAGTTCCTGTTGAGTATTTTCATCTTGCGTGTCCCTTTAGGAACCTGTTTGTACGCGGTGAAATCATGAACTCACATACTTGGAGCATGGCCAGTCTGGGAGTTTGAGTTTCTTCCCAAGCCCAGCACCCTTGGAAAGGGCACTGAGGTCTCCCACACTCCTGTCAGGAGAAATTAGTCAGCCAAGGTGCTAGATGCCCGTGCTTTCATTTATCTGATTTTTGCTGTAGTCTAATTGTTGTGCTTCAGTCTGTTCTCAAGATTTATTTAAAAATAGATCAAAGGTGCTAAACCTTTGAGGTCTAGAAGGGTTGAAGAGGCCTCTCTGGAGTGTGGCTGGGCAGTGCAGGCAGCATGTTGGGTCAGACAGGTCCTCACCCTCTGTGAAAGCACCAAAATGTCCCTGCAAAGCTGTCATCCTCTGCCAGGGGAGGTTTGGAGCTGAAAGCACAGTGTGGTGTGGGCACTGACAGCAGCTCATGCCACCTTGGCAGCAAGCTCTGTCCCTCATCTACCGTTTAGATAGAAGATTTGGGTGTGTTGCAGATAATGCTGCTATTACGTGTTACTCTGCTATTGAAAGCAGTGTTTAGTAGCATGAAAAGTGTATTTGAATTAAAAGATCAAATGAGATTCTGTATGACTCAGCTGTAAAAAATAAGATCCATCTTGAGAGATGCTTGAAGAGAGGTGTTGAACTCTGCACAGTGCACTGCACAGATCTGTTAGGATCTGTTTGGTCAGTTTCTTCACTCACCAGAGCACTTACCGAGTGTTGATGTGTCTTTGTCATCCCATCTCTTACTTACAATACACTGTATTAGCCATATATTTTGCAGCTATTACTTTAAAATGCCTTTAAGCTGTTAAAAAGATGAGATGGTCATAATTGTGCTTCTTAGCCTTCTTCAGATCAGTTCCCAGGTTCCCAAGCAGTGAGCCTCAGAAAACGTGTGGCATGGCTTGTTTGAAAGCTGTGTCCCCATGGCCCGAGGCTTAGCCCCAGCAGTGCACCAGCAGCAGTGTCTGCCACCAGCAGCTGGGGATGGTGCTCCTGGCAGGCACCACTGGCCTCCTGCACAGGAGAGTTTCCCTGCCGGAGCTTGTTAATCTAGAGGATAATAATTTTAAGAGAAAACTTCACATTTTAGCTAGTGAAAAAATTATTCTTGGACTCTAATGAGGAATTTTCCAAACCTGAAATAAAGTGGGGTTTGATCATTCAGGGCACTGCTGTGTTCACAGACCAGTTTAGTGCCTGTTGCAGAGGTGCTGGTGCTCACATGGTAGAGGGAAGTGTGAGTTTCATCTGAACCCTCTTGTGTCCTATCCCTTTTTTATTTCTGTAATGCCTCTGAGTTAAATGAGATCCATCCTTCAATAGGAAAACCCTGGACCTGTAAGTTACAGGAACCCCTCTTGGCTTTTCAGATGTGAACATCAGTAGAAAACAGCAGAAAAAAACCCACTTTTCTAAACTAGGTAATGGGGCAAGGAGTGAAAAGGAGATGGATGAAGGAAGTGTAATTTTAAAAATAATTCTGGGTTGGTTTTTTTTTTTTTGTTGTGTTTTTTTTAAAACAACCCAGTTCCAGCAGTTGCCTGACACGCCAGTTTTCTGAAAATGCAGGTGATTCTTGGATGCAACTGCAAAAGCTCTGGAGCTGAGCAGGAAAATTAAGTGTGGTTCAGGAATAAACCAGTAGTCCTGCATTCAGGGCAGTGAGGACTGGAGCCAACCCTTTTGCTAATCGTGTTATGCTTAACTATACAGATTTGCAGGGTTTCCTTATGTTTCCTGTAGATTGAGGTAGTTTTGAAGTTACTAAAATACCATTGTTTCTTGTCAGAGAACAGGGTTTAAGCTGCCTGGCAACAGACATTTTATGAAGGGCGTTAATGTGAGAGGAGGTTAAAAGCCATAATCATATTTTCAGAAATGCTTAAGTCTTTTTTTTATGTAACAAACTCACTGGAGAATGTTGTAATTTATTAACAAACTGAATTTGTTTCAAGTAATTGATGCTGCCTTTGGGAGTCAGAGTGGGTTTAGTTGTGATTTCTTGGTTGTTGGCAAGCTGTTGTTTTTTTAGGTTGGGTGGGAACAAATGACAGTATTAATTATCTGGGCTCCTTCTTCATTAGCCAGTCTCCACATGACTGTTCCCTTGCTTGCAGCTTGTTGTTCTTGGGAAACCAGTTCTCCTCTGTGTCCTGCCTGGGCTGCATGGCTGTGTGGCACCTTTTGGGGCTGACCTGTGTCAGCCAGGGCTTGCCTTTGTGTCTCACTATTGGCTGACCACGTTTCACTGCTGGAAGTTGTCTTGCTGTGTCTGACTCCTTCTTAGTTTACAGCAACTTTGCATTGGGAATATAAAATGAAAATTCTCCTCAGACTTTTCAGGCTAGCTTGTGCCTACAGTTTGTGAATATCTAGCTTGGGAAGCACCACAAATCTTGGGGGAGTGAGAGGAAAGAAGCAGGATTTTTGCCTCAGTTTTAGAACTTGTAATTAAATTCTTCATTCTAGATATTGTTTATTCATTTTATTAGTGTGTATATAAACTAAATTCAGATGGAGTCTAAGGGGAACTGGAATTAACCAAGGAATTATCTCTGTGCTGGATTCATTGAAAATTTCTCAGTTATTAGTATCAGGGGTCAGATGATAAGACCTATACAATAAGCTTTTTCCATTCTGCTGCTATGAGAAGACAGTGAAAAAAATCCAGTGGCCACAGTAGCTGTACCCAGACCTGCTTTTCCTTGGAGCTGCTGCTTCTAGGAACCAAGGACAAGAAACCATCAGGAAGTGGTAGAGGAGGGTGATATGGAAGGTGCCCAGGTCCTGACCCCCTTGAGCCCTGGCCTGGCTCTCTGTGTTTACCTTTTGGAAGTAACAGAAGCATTTGCCTGATTTTAAAAGGCTATTGAAGCATGAGTTACTTGTAAAGTTGGACTTGAAACTCCAGAAATTAAGTGCTACATACAAATGCAAGGTGTCCCTAATGCACCTTGAAAGTGCTAAAGTAACATTGTGGAGCTGTCATTGCAGTCAATTTAAAATTCCCTCAATGAGAAACAAAACTGTGTCTTTCAGAAGTACTGTAACTTTTTTGGGCAGCCCTCTGTCTCCAGACTGCTCCAAGTCCATTCATCAGTAGCAAACTGAAAAATAAACCTGCAGGTTAATGAGTCATGTGCCCTTCCTATAAGTAATATGATGATCTGTGCTAATTAAACTGAATCATTTATGAGCAATAAAGAAGTAAGTCAGAGATGTCTGTGTGACTCGCATGTAAAGATCAGACAGGACCATCGTATTCTCTGAGGCATCAGTCATGTTTAATTCTTGTGTCATTTTTATGCCTGTTACTGTTGCGTGTAGATGAAAATGAGCTTGTGTTACTAGAAGGAAACTGTTCAGTGTAAACAAAAGCTTGGGGAACAACTTACTGTATTCTAATTCTTTCCTTTAATTCTTGCATCACTTGACAGTTGTCATTTAACCACTATGTATTTTTCCCCAGGATAGAAGGAGGATGAACGTTACCTTACCTGGTAGAATTTCCATGATTCCCAGTGAGAGGGCCCTGCACTGTAGTGTGTCTGTGTCACCACTGAGGGAGCCTCCCTAGTTTCAGTAAAAAGTCTGTGATGTTCCTTGCTCGGTTGTTACTGGTGCCATTTTTCAGTCCACTTCTCACTAAAGCTCCTGTACCATGTCTGTCATTTCTAGATGTGAAAGACTGGAAGAGCAGCTCAATGACCTGACTGAGCTCCACCAGAACGAGATCCTCAATTTGAAGCAGGAGCTGGCCAGCATGGAGGAGAAGATCGCCTACCAGTCTTATGAGCGAGCCCGGGACATCCAGGTGGGTGACAGACAGGGACTCTCCAGTCCTGTTTTCCACCTGCCCTTCTGTAACTCAGTCTCTTCTGAAATACTCATGTCGTTCAATATTTGGTTTTAATCCTTGTAGCTTTATTGCTAAACTGCAGTTTGGTGATTTCTGAAAGGGCCTTTGTTCCACCTCTGCCCCTCACATGTCTCCAGGAAACTCCTGTGGGGAGGAAGGGCCGTGTCTGCAGGTTCCTCTGCAGAGGGTCCTGCCCCTCGCTCCGCAGCAGAGCTTGCAGAGGAGCTGTGGCAAAGTGGAGGTCTGCATCTCCTTTCTGTACAGGGCTTTGCAGGGTAGTAGAAACAACTGGGCCCTGACCCGAGCACTTTTTTTTACAGTAGCATTCCCAGTAAACTGACCCTAGGGTGTGTTTCTGTGTCACTAATTTTAGAGCAATGATCACATATGTCTAAGGAAAAACTGCTTTGTGTACCACTGCCTGGAGTCAGCAAACTGTTCTTTTTGTTGATTTTGCCCAAATAAGGAGGTGTTTTAGAAGACAAGTTTCTTTCCTTATGTAAAAGACCAAAGCTATGGAAATAGACATAGTTGGAGGGCCTTCCACAGAGCAAGAGACCTGGGGAATGACCTGAGCAGCCATTAAACCTTACAAAGAAAGGCTTGTTGAGAAATGGGTCCATCGTCCATTTTAAATCCTTGTGCCAGTTTTAGCAGGCATCTCAGTTTCGATTGCTGACGTGGAGATATTTATAGTGTAAGCAGGGAACTGTAGGTCAAAGTTCTCCCTCTTTCCTCCCCCCAAAGAGCCTCTGCCAGGTGATTTCCTCTGGACACTGAGCAAGCTGTGCTTTTGGCACAGTTGGAGACCCATCTGCAAGCCCTGCTGAGCCCGTGTCCCTGCAGGTTGCTTACTGCTAGAGGGGCTGATCAGTTTGCCCCATGGTTTCAGGGACTGTAACTGCAGAGAAGCCCTCACATTTCATTAACCTCCACAGACATGATGCAATGACAGAGAAATGTAACAGGTGACAATGACCTTTAAGTTAAGGTTAAAATAAATAGGTGTCTGTGGACAGTGGTGCCATGGCCTCTGACAGAGTAAACAGGAGGTCCTCCCTTGGGGAAATGTTACAATATTCAGCTTTTGTTCTCCTCTCTAATTTCATACAGCAGGAAGACCAAAGGCTGAAGACTTGAAGTGGGGATTTTTCAGTAGCTTTTTAAATCCTCCTTTTATAATTCAGAGCTTTTAATGTAAACTTGCAAGTTGGCAGCAAAGGGCAGTGCCTAATTAACGAGGGGCTCCTTGCCCTCAGCCACGTGGAATGGCAAGGTCTGACATGGGTGTGGTGACTGATGTCCTGCAGAGGTGCGTGGGGCATGAGACAGGTGGCCCTGGCCTGGCCCAGGTGGTGAGATGAGAGTGGTGGGCTGTCCATGGCTGGGGCACCCCAGGTGCTGGCAGCCCAGCGCTGTGTTCTCGCTCACAGGAGGCACTGGAAGCCTGCCAGACCCGCATCTCCAAGATGGAGCTGCAGCAGCAGCAGCAGCAAGTGGTGCAGCTGGAGGGGCTGGAAAACGCCACGGCCAGGAACCTTCTGGGAAAGTTCATCAACATCCTCCTGGCTGTCATGGCTGTTCTCCTTGTCTTCGTCTCCACTGTGGCCAACTGCGTGGTGCCCCTCATGAAGACTCGCAACAGGACGTTCAGCACTTTATTTCTCGTGGTTTTCATTGCCTTTTTGTGGAAGCACTGGGACGCCATCACCGGCTACTTGGAACGGTTCTTGTCTCCCCCCAGATGATGGTGGCAGGACCTGGCTGCATCCTCCTCCTCCCGGCACTCTCGGTGAGCAAGCGTGGCAAAGATTAGTCAGCAGCTACTCTGCTGAAGTTTTAAAGTGTCCGAGTGAATTTGTTTACATTTAGAATAATGTTTTTTCTCTGCGAGATGCATTGCAATAGTATTTTTTAGATTTTATTCAAGAACTCTTTTTTGGCGAGAATCCTGGATAATTTTTATGTAGCATGGTTCTCTTTGGATGCAAATCTTAAGATTCTCTGAAGTGTACAAAAGAAATAAATAAAATGCAGAAATTTGGAGCATACCAATGGGCAATTTAAATTGTGGCTTGAACTACTGTACTAAACCTGTCAGGAAGAAGAGAACATGGTTAGCTTGAGAGGAGCAAAGCTAAATCTAGTGCACAGCCTTGAGTGATGGTACCACAGCAAACCTGTAACACTAAACTTTTACTGTGAAGTCTGCTCACATTCCATGTCCAAATGTATGCATTCAGAGTGGTTTCTTTCCTTAACAAGAGAACAACAACAACTTGTGGATCTCTTCCCCAGCCCGGCGTCTGGGTTCGCCGTTTGTGCTAACCTGATTTACGGTAACTTTCTATAAGGCTGGCTAACTTTGCTAAGCATATGAAGTGGAAGCCTCATGCCATACATAGTAACTGCACAGTTGTGCTACAGTATTTTGAAGCAGTCCTTGAAATACTTATCTTTAAGTAGAAGCCCTTGGTCGCACTTTTAAGGTTTTTTTTATATATGTATATTCACAGATTTAAAAAAATCCGAACAGCATACTTGAAGAGTGTAATACTCAAACTCTCAGTGCTTCCTTATTGTTTCTAATAGGATTTTTTTATTATAATAATTATTATTATTGGGGTTTGTTTTTTTTTTTAAGGGATTGGGAGGGTCATTACTCTTTTTTTTTTTTTCCTTTTAAATAAAGAAGTGATGTTTTTAAATGAAGAAATGCGTGAATAATTGTGAGCCGTCTTGTCCTGAAACAGTTTTGAGGAGGGCAGAGAGTAGTTTCTAGTGCCAGCTTGTCTGGAGCACAGTGCTGTCCATATGCCATGTATCTGTCCTCCAAAGCATACAGATGCAGCATCATGAAAAACATCTATCTTCTCCACACATTTTTGTCATGCAGGGCTTTTTTTCCTCGCTGTGAAGGAGAGTATGTTTATATTTCTCATTTGCATGTCGTCTCTCATTCCTGGCCTCAGGATAAGGATAAGGAATTCATTTTCATCCCTTCCTAGGGAAAAGACAGGTTCTTTTAAGGAAAGAAATACTGAATCAACAGTCTACTTAAAAGAATGGTTGTGTCAGAAATAGCTCTGATTTCATTTTTAAATAAACCCCTAAAAAGTGAAACCAAAGTTTTCCTGCTGTCAGGCTCTGGTAAGATCATTTGTGTGTCTGTCTGTACAGTGTACCTGTGTGCCATCAAGAGTGTCCTCTTCTTCAGCCATGGGGCTGAGTACTTGGTGTAGAAAACTTTCAACGCTCTACAGGAAATATCAGCTTCAAATGTGCCTCTGAAGTCCTAGCAACGTGCTGTTGCTGGTGACTTGTTGGTACTGGTGGGCTGGCTTCACTCTGCGCACTCAGCGTTCACTCTGTGCTCTTTTGTTTGTCCCTTTTGCTTTAATGAAGCCAAGATTCAACCTCCATCTCCAAGAAATCCAAAAAAACTCCAGGATTCTCTTTCAAAACCATATATGATGCTCAGTTAGATCTTACTGTTTTCCTTTTTCAGGCTTAAATGCCCTCTAGGAACCAAATGTTGCCCAAGTGACCTGAAATCATACACGTACATACATGGAACACGTACATTATATATATATATATATACACATGGAAGCCTAGGACTTTATGCAATTCTGCAATTCTGGTTTCTGAGAAATTCCCTCAAACTACATAACAGCCTTGAGGGTCTTCTGATAAGCAGCAGAGGGCTTGCCATCCTTCTTCCTTCAAAGATTCTGTCTGTTTTTCCCATAGTCACAGGAAACTCAGGTACCCCTCTCCCCAGGGATCCCAGCACACCTCTCTTTGTCACCACGTGCACTAATCTGCTCCTGTCCTACTTAAAATGCAAATTGTCAGTTGCAACTGACTCAAGCCAAAAATAATCATGCTTTCTACAGAGTTGCAGAGAGAGCAAAGATTGCATAAACATTCCCTCCTTAGACCATGCTTCTAGCTCCAACAAGACTCTTCTGTTTACCGTGGTTCTCTGGCAGATTCAAATGACATGGGCAACCAACACCATCCCAGTACATAGTTTGTGTCAGAAACAAAGGTGTCAGTAACCATAAGAACTGAATTGGCACAGAATTGAGAAGCTTTGTTGCCTTTTTTTCTGGACCCTGGCCTTTGCACCTCTTTTTTTTCTCAGTTCTGATGATGTTGCTCATGGTAAGTTTTTATATGGTGAAAGCAGGAAGGAGGTGAAAGGCAATGGATCTGGACACTCAGTGCCACTTGTCCGTGGTATTTGAAGGAAGTGTTTATCCCTCTTCTTTATATCCTAATTTCATTTAGAATCTGAACTCTGTGTTGTCTTCAGTAAATACCATTTGCTAATTTGCCAGAAGGCGTAGGCTTATTAGAAACTTATCACCTCAAAACTGTTTGGTGAAGGCCATGTGCATATGGTTGTGGACAATGTCTGTCTGTCTGTCTCTTTCTCTCTCGGCAGTTTCTTCCATTCCAGAAAGTTGTCTGCGGTAATGCCACATATGATGCTGCATCCACTTTTCATATCCTAACACAACTGCCATGTGTTTTGCCTTTTGCATTAGCAGAACTTTGTGGGGTTTTCTTCCCTCTTCAGTTTGAAGGTCTGTGATGATTTCTGATAGCTTAACAATAATTATACTGTTGGAAATGTGATTCTAGCTTTAAAGCTCCCTTTCCTTGTAAGTGGTTGTGTTTGCTTTCTTGATGAAGCATCTCTGGATGACTCATAGAAGACAGTTCCCACCATGGGTGTAAGTGTGTGTGTGAGTACCTTGTATTGGCCTTCCTTATGGAGGTAAACTTCTTAGTGACCATCTCTGAGTTGCAGAATGTTTCCCAAAACATTTCATATTCAGAGTTGAAATTATTTTGAAATTGCTTAGGTGTGTTTAGCACGTATCGACTTGGCATATAAAAAGGGAAGAATATAATGGACTGTGTTAGTTAAAAAAGCAGCAGCTCTTCCTTGAAATTCTGTGGTTCAAATGAAGTTTATCTGTTTCCCCCATTTGCTTTCTCAGTGTGAAGAAGAAAATCTTGATGCAAAAAATACTTACATGTTTAAATTTTATAAAGTTCTCTTTTCTCTCAGCCTCATTAGGTTAGTTTAATGATACTGAGCATGCTCACAGCAATTATTTTATTGGTTTATTCCAATCCCGTGAGTTCTTAAAGTTTGATCAGATGAAACGTTGAGTTCTGTACATGTTGCACTGGGACAGAAAAGCACTGTCTTTCAGCTTTGAGAATATGCATTTTTTTTAATTCAAAAAGCAGCATTATAACAAAAGAAGCCAAGCTACAAAAGGGTTCAAGATTGGGTAGTTTTGCCAGTTTTTAAATGAATTCTGAACGTGGCTAAAGAGTTTTAAACCCTGTGTGTCTGTGTTGTGTATGCCAGGTGGTATAGTAGTAGGCAATTGACTTAGCCGTAAGTGTGTTTTTAAAGTGTAAAAAAAAATAAACAGAAAAACTCACTTGCACGGGTTGAAAAGTACAGAAATGACACTTGTGAACGTAACACTGTAGTTTATAGATCTTAAGCTGCTAATTGTTGAGAGAGATTTACATTTGTCTTGTCTGATTGTTGCAGATTTATCTGTGACACTTTTACTGTATATAAAAAACTTTAAATAAAGACCTCAGCTATTAACACTGGCCTAATTTGGATCTTTCCAAAGGGATGGGGAGGAGGTGATCAGGAAAATAACAGAGGGGTGTGTTAAAACTGGGCTGAGCCCTCTTCTACTATCTTAAAACTTGAGCCTGTTCTCCACGGATCTGATCATCGGACTTCATTCTGTAATCAGCCACACACCCCCAGCCTTGGTGAGGATAAATGGGCTGCCTTGTTTGGTCTGTGGGCAGAGGAGGAGCCAAGCTGCATTCCTCCCTTTCCTTCATCCCTGGGGAGCCTGGGACAGCCTGGCAGGGTGTGCACAGCCTGCAGAAGGGGGGGTGGTGAGGGAAGGTGACTTGTCCAAGGAGGGTCTGTCTGAAGGCCTGGGAGCTGCTCCTGCGTTTTCCACCTCTGAGCAGGTCTGCAATTGGGCTGCCCCAGCTGAGAAGGGGTGGGGGCTGCTCCCCTGGGCCTCTCCTCACTGGGACTGGAGGATCAACTCTGTGCTGAGCTGTGTGTGCAAAGCAGGGTACAATTGTCAGCTCACCAGTATTTCTCACGTGCTGGTTGGACTCAGTAAGGTTGAACATGAGAGGATCAACTGGGGGAACAATGAGGAAGGGTGAAAGCAGTGGCCGCCTTCTCCCCTGTCAACAGTTTTAATCCAATCATTTAGAGGATTAGGAGTCATTACTCATTTTTTTGGTTAGTCTGTGGGAAGTGGTTTGGTAGCTCCACCCAGGTCGTGGGGGGCAAACAGGGATGTGGCAAGGGTCTGGCTATGCTTGGTTCCCACAGTGGAGGCAAAGAATTGGCTGATCTTTCTGACTGGAGCAGTGGTTCTCCCAGGTCAAATCACACCTCAACGTCTTGATCAATCTGGACAAACAGCTCCCTACCACAAGGCATCTGCCTTCAAGTTGTTTCTTAACAAGCACTAAACCCACGTTCTCCTTTAAAAGACCATGTTGGTTCCTAGTTTGTTGGCCTCAGTGGAGCTGAGGAGAAAAGCCAGGACAGGATGGGAAGCTGTGGAGTGCTTTCATCCTTCCTCCACACTTCAGGTTTGCCTGAGCATGGCTGATGCCTGACTGGCCTTGCAGTCAAGGTGTTCAGAAGATCCTCACACACACACACAAAAGCTCTTAAACCCCGAGGCAGTGGGAGCCCGTGAGCCTGCCTGGCCTGCACAGAGCAGTCTGAGTGTGACACCCCCCTGCTGCCCCGGGCTCTGCCTTTCCAGCCGGGTCGGGTGCTGCTGCTGCACATCACCCACATGAGACCCTTAACGTGGACATGAGCCCTGGGCCAAGACAATTCCTGTTCATCCTTGGCCTTCTGGATAATGTCCCTTGAGGGGAGACTGCTGGAGTGGGCTGAGGAGGAGGAGGCAGTTTTTTGGTTTGCTGTGGG